GTGGTCTACCCATTGATCCTTTGCGTTTTTAGCATGCGTTGTTGTCGTCGCTTGGGACTTAATTCCCGCGCATGCGCAGGTGACGACCCCCCCCCCGCTTCAACAGAGTATAGCGCATACCGAGAACGTGCAATTCTACAAGGTATAAAGGATTGTGATCAAAACCCTCTTAACCTTGTAGTAGTACAATGCCAGATGGTGAAGTATTGAGGAGCCAACAAACGATATATAAGAATAGATGAGTGAAGGATAACTCGATTAGCTGCATAGCGTTTTAATTACACAAGGAAATAACTCACGGGAAACCACCGTGACGGCACTCATCATACAGATACGAATCATCCACTTTTGAAAGCAATATACAGAACAATGATTGGCAGTTACTAGAGTTTTTAGAACCAATTAAAACTGGAATATTGTCATTTTTGTTGAAAGGAAGTTGCAACAACGAGTTAATAATGACAAATTATTATGGAATTCATGATTTCACAAATTAAGTTATTCTGGTGGCAATAACACCACCATCTGCAAACATAAATCATCTTCGTATAAAAGTTTTTATTTGAGGCGAAGATATTACCTTCAAATCACAGTTGATCGATCGCATATTGGATTGGGTATTTTGACCGATATATAGCTCGCGTAATTTAAGGAGGAAAATTTGAAGTAACATTTTTGCCGAAATAACATTGATTTGAATTATACACGGTACCAATCATGGGAACGTATCATTGAGTTCGCACAAAAATAAAATAAAGTAAGAGATGAAACTCACCTTGTTGTTTGAATCTGGAAGTTACGATGAACTGGAATGTAACCACGTATTGAGTTTAATTACTAGTTTGTTTTGTTGTTTCTTGTCGTCATTTCCGCCCACATGTTGACCACGCCGATATATCCGGCACTGATGTTTATTACGTCATTCCAAAGACATATACTATGTATGCAATGTACAACTGCGTGTTTGTTTACGTACATTGACGTCACTACAATTACAGTGTTACTGGTAGATTTGAAAACAAACACTATTCACCCTACAATGACGCCCACGCACACACAGTGTTAGTACCGAAGTTGAACTTTGGTTGGGGCAGTGCAGATTTTAACAATTCAGTTCTGGAAATGGGACGGGGTTTCCTTGGTAACAGGAATTTATAGTACTATATGCCAAATAGTAACGAAGACCATTTAATAAATAAATACTTAATAAAAAAAATTTCAAGGCTCATCATTACTTAACCAATACAGGCAACCATGTTTGTTGAACTTTTCAACTTTTAAGTGTAATCTAGTCTCTAGCCTTTATATAGTTATGCGTTATCTAATGGATTTATAATAAAGCCTGAAACTGATCTTCAACCTTTATGCCACATATCGTAGAACAGGTCGGCTTTATGTGCTCAAATGACACCAATTCAACATGGCGTCAACAGGTAATTACGGTCCTGGCTTTTATAAAAATAGTTCCGGAATAGATCATATGTATAGGCAGTACGATACACAGTAAGATATGGAATGTATAGCTGCCCCGCTTCGTAAAAATTAACGAAAATTTCGTCGAAAGTCTATTAACTCGAATAATCATTTCGTCGAAACTCTAAATATAGGTATATCTATCACATATATAATCCAAAATCGATACAAGTTAGTAAAAGTTTGTTAAAGTTCTTGGAATCAGGAAAGGGAGTGTCAGTTGGCACCGAGACAGAGACCATAAAGCTAATTGGTGGACGCATACCACGTGACGATAATTGCAAAATTGCATTGTGCACATTGGAACATTTCATTTCTGACTTTGTTTACACTACCATATATATATGAAACGATCATTTCATACCGCACATTTCAATTGAATGAACCCGGATGTGAGTGGGCTGAACTGGGTTCGAGTGGGCTGAACTGGGTGTGATTTGGTTGAAAGTGTGGCACTAGTAAGTTGAGCTGGGGTGGAGTAGGGTGAACTGGATGGGAGTGGGACAACATTATGAAAAACGGGTGGACTGGGTGGGGTCGAACGAACTAGATGGGAGTGGGGTTAACTGTGTGTTGTGAACTGTGTGACAGCGTGGGTTCGAGTAGGGTACTGGGTCGTGTGTAGTTTAATGGGTCGGGGGGGCACTTTGATCATCTATCAGCTTTCGCATACTCATCTCAAATAAAAAAGTTATCCTGAAATTGTGCGGTACAAAACAGTATATGGTGTGTTGGCAAAGTGTACCAAATGAGTCTTGAAATTAATTAATTAAAATTAGATTATTAATGACCTCTGTTACCCGTAACCCAGTTATTAAAGCAATATTGTGTGTGTGCAAATGCATTGTAGCACACCAGTGAGTTATGGTTTTATTGTTTGAAAAAAAAAAACACAGGGTATGCGATTCACGTCATGAAAATATGAATCTATAAAAAACGAACCCGCTTTGGACAATGAGCCACCTGAGTTTATAAGTGGTATTATTGAGAAATATCTAAAACCAAAGCATTGCGCTAGAGCTAAAAATTCACATGAAAATACATCTTTATTCCATGTAGAAAAGAACGTGTTTTTTTCATAAGATCATTTTGAGAAAACGAATATCGGTGACATTGCGCACCGCCTTCCAACCACTTAATAATAAATAAATAATAAATATGTATCGAGATGAAATTCACAATAATTTTGTAGCTGATGTAAGCTAGGTTGTTGTGAAAAATTTTTTTTTTATCAATAGAATAATAACGACGTATCATAATATACTCGTGATGCTATGACGTGACGTAAAACCAGCATTTGGAAAATTTAACACGGCGTATAGAAAATTCAGTCAGGTGGTGCCAACATGGTCTAGTATCAACAGTCGACGAAGTCATTTCGCTATGCATTTTGGGTAATATAAGTTATATACCAGCAGCACCATCTTGATAATGTCTGGCTTACGAAGATATCACTACATCGTAAGTTATTTCAAGTAGTTTGTGGTTGATATGGAGGCGTTTCTACAACTTGAATGATCGGTTTTTCCGGCTGATAACGTTTATGTTCCGTGCCGTTCTCCCAGATCACCGGAGAATCCAGTAAAATAGAGCACGTACCGCTGATACACACTATTACAAATAACCATAAAAAAATTCTGTCGATCACCATAGCAACGAATTTCCAATCTTCGCTTATCTGTGTACAGATAACACAATCATATAATTATTATATGGAATACAAATAAATCTCATTGCAAAACACTGAAAATACTTCCATTCAAATCATGAACAAATCCAAAAATTCAAAAAAATGATGAACAGCATTTTCTTTTGAAAAATTAAGATAATTGTGTATATGCTTTATCAACGTGCCCTAATATCATATTATATCACCAAAATACGAAACATTCTCTTCATCAATTCATCAATATTGTACTTCCCCAGCCCTAAACTCGCCCACTAATGATGCATTTCCCCACCCTACCCATACGCATAAAATTCTGCCCGCCCACTCACCAATAATGTATTTCAGTTACCCGCCCACTCACCAATAACGTATTTCAGTTACCCGCCCACTCGAAAAACCTCGCATGAGCTTATTTGATTACTTCTGTACACACGACCATCCGGCTCCGCCCAAGCTTACAAATAATTGTCCGGAACGTGTTCACATTAAACAGAAATGTCATTAGCTACTAGGGACCCAAAGGTGGAGTTGGAGATGGAGAACTTTAAATTATTAAAACTGACAAATAATTTCTTAGAAAATAAGTCCCACGCAAAATGCTGATTAAAGACGTACCTCCTCTACCCTGTCTTCTTCTTTCAGATGCTCCACAATGTAATTAATATGACCAATTGCACCTTTTAATTCAAATGGAATTGTGTAAGCTTCATCGTCATCATCTTCTTCTTTATTGCCATCATTATCGTGACCTCGCTCATGCTTGATCCGGTGACGCTCTCTCCACTCTATTTCCTCGCGTAGTGACGGGGTTATTTTTTCCCGCGTTTTTTGCGCAAGAAGCACTGGGATAGATTGTGACCTCGGGTCGCCATTCATTGGCTTAGAAAGAGGTTCACAGCAAACCGCCACACTTTGACTTGTATTGGATCTAGACTGCCTTAATACCTCCTTCAACTTACCATGTGCACGTTTCTTGTTATACCGTGGCCTCTGCATGAACAGCAGTGATGGTAGGCGGCGTAGGAACCACCTCTTAACCCACTCAGGCATCGTATGAGTGGTCGATGTACGATGATGAATATTCAGCACTATGACGGTAACAATGATTGACAGACTGACTAACACCATCGTGAAGAGTAAATAAATCCCGATGAGAGGAATTGTTTTAGAGGTGGGTGGGATGATCTCCGATATCAGCAGTAGAAACACAATAAGTGCTAGTAATACTGAAATACACAGCGTGATTTTCTCACCGCAGTCGGACGGGATGTAGAACACGAAAACCGTCAACACCGAGATTAGTAAACAAGGTAACACCAGTGTGACGATGTAAAACAACGGTTTCCGATGAAGAACCATCGTGAAGGTCAAGTCCACGTAGATTTCCGCGCAACACGGATATTTTAAAGCATGACGCTCGACAGGCGTTTCCACAATCTCCCATTCCCCGTTCTCCCAGTAGTCTTCCTGTTCTATTTTATCAGATATGGCACCCAGGTCCACATGGTCCCCATCGTAGGTCCATGAACCGAATTTCATTCTGCAGTGCTGTTCATCGAAGGGAAAGTAATCCACGTCGATTTGACACGAACTTTTGTAAACCGCAGGCGGTACCCAGTAAACTGTCCCATCACTGTAAATAATCGCCATCGTCATCATCGTGACGTCATATGGACCATCCGCACTGTGAATGTAAATTATTGAGGATATTGATTTTTTTTTTCATTTTCGGGTAACATGAGAGTGCTAGTAACGACATGGCATATATTATAATAAGAGTACACATGACGTCACGGTCACAGTATGAATTATATTATATTATATTATCTCGTTCTATTATCTCGTATACTTACTTATTATAAAGTACTATATCAGGCATCCATATCATATTGGAAGGCACGTGCAAGACAGTGAGACCGCCGAACTGATCGGGGTCCCATACCAACTGGAAATCACGCCATTTCTGGTGAAAAACAAACATGGTATTAATACTATGATCACATGACATTATGAATTCTATTTGGTTTGTAACTGATGCTATAAACGACCCCCGGTGGTACATCTTTCCAAATGTTATAAGATAAGATAAGATAAGATAAGATAAGATAAGATAAGATAAGATAAGATAAGATAAGATATATAAATTATAAATTTATCGGTACTTGAACACATTTCTGCAAATAAATTGTCATCCCCTATGATTTCAAGATTTGATGCATACATAAAGTTGTAAAAAAATCATTTCTAAAATAACTAATTTGGCTATTATTACAATTAAAGATGTAATGTAACTCATCCCCAATTTCATTATTTGAACACTTTGTACAAAATATGTTCTCTTTAGGAATACCTTTGTGCCTTCCTGCTCTATAGGTAATTTGTGTACAGACAGGCAAAACTTAGTCATTGCCACTCTGTGTTTTGCCGATTTAATGTCACATAAATATTTCTCCATTGCATAGTCATTTTTAAATAAACTATATGTTTTTAATTTATTATGTGCTATTTTATTGATTTCCTTATACCATTTGTCATAATAAATTTGCTTTAATTTTGTGTTGAACTGATTATCAAAACTTGGATTATTGATGTCAGCTGGTTTTAAATTAGTAATATCTAACAATTTTTTAACAAATCAAAACCACTGACCAGTCTCTATTGAATTGCTTGTATTCCAAGCCCCAAGGAGAATAGTGTTTTTAACATCTCCACATCTAAATCTTTGATAGTATTTCATCATACTAATACAAATATCAATGATAAGTGGGTATCTACCCAATTCACCCCTGCATGCCAAATTAGTTGCCTTTCTGTGAACTCCCAGAATCTGTTTACTGATTTGCATTTGTTCAAAAACTAATTTATCTGAAAACAAGGTATTAATGAATTTGTCATTTGCACTATTAATGTTGTATTTACTGATATCAAAGTTAAATGCTCCCCAGACATCAGAACCATACATGGCAATAGGCTTTACAAGAGAACCAAATAACTTGCATGCTAATTTAACAGAATGACAGTCTCTATAAACCCACAACATTTTATATATTTTAAATAATGCCCGTTGTGCTTTGGCTTGAAGTGCTGAAATTGCAACTTTGAATTTCCCATTACTCTCAAAAGTAATACCAAGCTATTTGTAGGAATCGACAATCTCAATTTTTATATAGATGCACCACCAAATGAGCTCCATATGTTTTGTATGTCTAAAGTCGTCACCTGCACATGCGCGGGAATTGAGTCCCAAGCAACACACGCTAAAACGCAAAGGCTCATGGGTAGACGCTTGTTTGTAAACAATGACACGCTATGGCCATCTGACGCATGCGCAGGTGACGACTCCCCCGCTTTAAGTGAGACAGCTTTTGTTTGAAATAAAATAACTCTTTTAAATCTACAAAAAACATTGAGTATACCTGAGAAAAAAAAAACAAAAAAAAAAACAAAAACACTTTTTCCTGGAGGATACCGGAGTGATGTTGAAGAAAGGTTAAGTGGGTCTCATCAGTTACTAGAATGGAACCAAGCTATTATACATTCAGCAAACTTCGAATAATTATAAATTTGTAGACAAGCCTTGACTAACGTTTCACCGACCTGTAGCAACTAAGTTTCGACATACACACTGAACGATCCGATGAATGTACTTCACTATTCTAAAAGTGACCTTAATTATGAAAATACTTTTATATACTTTTTGTTATTGAACCGATGCGTGATTCTACCGAAATATCGCGTATTTCATCTGGGTAGAATAGATATATCTGATTGCACGCTACTCTAAAACAGGCGTCAAATCAGAATTACGGAGCCACAGTCCCTCTATCTCTGTCTATGATAGAGGGACTTGGAGGAGCTTACGACAATGATGGAAATACAATAAAATGGCGTTATGTCAAATTACCAAAAATTGCACAATTTAAAGTACATCGCTGAACTGCCAAGGTACAGCATAGCGGTGAGACGATAGTCGAATAAACTTTGGCTGGCGAACATGCTTATACTGATGATACCACATGTATCACATGCCCGACTTTGGAAATTTAGTTCAGGCAGTTTCGTTGTTTTCTGATAATTAGGATAATTGTAATTATAAAGTTACAACACATGATTTATCGCACCACATAATGTATAGGTTGCCATGGAAACACATCTTTCGTTGCATGCAAATAAATGGTACATGCCCATTCGCTTTCACATCATAGTTATCTCAATTGACAACCAAGTGAGAAAACACTCCTGTCACAAGCCGGCCAATTTAGTAATTCTGAACTTACAGTTTTTTATATATGGCCGATTCAGTGAATAAACAGGACAATTTGAAGATATATTTGTCATTAGAAAAGATTCACTACTTTGCTAAGAAAACAAAATGGAACCGTCGGTTGTGTTAGGAGGTAAATCGGCAAGGGTTATTAGGTAAACGACATAAACTTTGTACTATGCGCGCATGCGCTCTAACTATGATTTAAATAAGTGCCAATATACTACCTGCTTAACCCACATGCTGGCTGTCATAATCTGGTTCTTTTCATCCTAAAAAAACAACAACAGAAAAAATACGTTGATAAAATAATCTACTAAGTTTAGAAAGGCAGTAAGGATGTATTTTGAGGAAACTACTACTCATTTTGTTTTGTTTTTCTCGATCGAGGCATGTCAACAGAGAAATTGTGGTTGCACAAGTCGGAGTAGGCGCATACAACAAGTAGTTAGTACAACTCACCACTTTTATTAGCTGCGATATTGACAAACCAAATGTGACATTAAGAATCTCGTTGGGAAATTTCACTGGACGAATCAAGCTGTTGTAGTTACTCATTAAAGCCATGAAAAGACGCTCCTCGTGCTCAGAACCATGGCAACCTGCAAAATATACAAAACAAAACAAATTAATTATGAACCAAGAACACTTGCATTTAAATTCGACGAATTGACTTTACATCCATGTTCAAGGCTGTTCAAGTATTGATACAACAAGAAACAGAAATGAAATCCATATAATTAAGAGGCTATAGCTGTGATTTTGAACAATTTTTGGTTAAAATATAACCACAAAAAATTACCAAATATTGTTTTAGACATAAATACATGGGCAAAGTGACCCGGCACAAGTCTAATGTTACATAAAATGCGATGAAAACTAAGGGTCGAGTAGTCAGAATTTCTCGTGATTCGTAGAAAGT